ATTGAATAATACATGGTGGACAGAAATGTTGGGAGAAGACAGAGTGGGTGAGGACATGTTGACAGATCAAGGGAGAGGACATTATGGACATGGTGGAGAGGTGACATAGTTAAATTATAGAAGACGTGTTGGAAGATAACATGGGAACAGCAGTAAGATAAAGAATGTCCCATTATTTCAGGGGAGTGTAGTCTGTTTATCAAATGCTGGATGTCAGTGCGCATATCAGGGAAGGCTGGCTCATTAATGCTCTGACTGTGTGTGTTTCTTCAGCCCTGAGGGAGGGAGAGGGACAGCTCAAAGAAGAACAACGTTGTTGTGCCACAGCCTCCATCATAATAATCACTCCCCACCACTGGACACAGTCACTGAACACACACACCTTCAACCTTTGCCAGAGCTAAATGTTAGCCATCTGTGGGCCATGGGGCCAGACTCAGTGATATGAATACCATTTGGACATAATGTATTATCTTGTGTGTTCAGCCCGTTCTCATCCTTTAACGTCATATAGAACGCTATATGCAAAAACGGCGCTATACTACGCACATGGCACCCTTTATCGTTAATATAACACGCGAACTCAAGACGTCATAAATCCTTTAGCGTGAATATGACACGCACACCCAACTTAGCCCTCACAGCGCGTGTTATATTAACGATAACGGGTGCCATGTGCGTAGTATAGCGCCGTTTTTGCATATAGCGTTCTATATGACGCTAAAGGATGAGAATGCGTTATGTTGCGGTATGTTAGCTTCAGTGTAGTGTCAGTAAGGGTTTATTAAGTTAGTGTGTACGTGTCACTGCTCGCACAGGCTGATGGAAACATAGAACGAGCCCCAATCCAAAATGAAGACTACTGTCTAAAACGGGTCCATGAGCTCCAACCTTAATTAAAAACACTTGAGCAAACTAGTCAATGTCTTCAGAATTATTAGAAAGTCGCTGACAGCTAAGTGCGTTTTGGTTGATTAGATCACAAGTAGATGAGGGACCATAGCCAGTAAAAGCCCAATTATTGCACTTCCTGTCTGATGTTTGAGCGAATGCGCAGGCTCAAACTGAGCGTGACGACAGTCTGACTGTAAAATACTGCTAACCACTCTTTATACTTTCTGGTTCGGATTACTTGAACGGCTACAGGAGGTCCGGTTAGAACAGGATGTCTCACACCAGAGTAGTTTGGGTTCTCGTAGGTGCTTTATTGTACAAAGGTCAGGCATGTAACCATGAATGCGACCATGTATGTGGTTCTGTAACAAACAATATACAGAATATGAATAAACTGAATTACAAATCACAGATCTACAACAGCTCTACAATTCTGGTATAAATATAATCAAGGATGTATTAAAGGGAATTAAAGAAATAAAGCAATATGATAATATACATATATTTATAACTGTCTCGATTATTTTCCCACTGTATGTCTAACTCACGTAGTGCTAACATGCCCGTACATGTTCCCCGAGACCCAATTGAGGTCCACACAACATATGAATATACTGTATGTCCCTATACTTATAACAATACGGGAGGATAACTTGCTATTTAAGTGACAATACAAAGGCAAACATAACCAACAATATGAACACTCAGATACAATGCTGCGACAGCCTATTCAAATCTCCCTCACGGATATGTATCATGCGATAAATATGCAAATGTACTTACTATTAGCTGCACGCACACACATAATCTCTAAATCCTTGAATGACAGCACTTCGATCGAACTTAACTGCTATTTACAACTTTATTCACTATAAACATGTCAGCACATCCTCTAGTCAGGCGATCTTGCTTATTAACTCTCTCAGTGCAACTTTTACGAACAGTCCAACTCACGAACAGAGGCGGGGGGGGGGGGGGGGATCGGAAGAGTCCATTTCAAAGGGGTGGCCTTTACACTGACAGTTGAAAATCTTCTAGTAGCTGTGCAAGACAAATCTGAATCACCTAATTCCTCAAAAACGTTGAAATATTTTCCCAGATAGCAAACTGACATTGAATCAACGTGGAAATATGACATCGAAACAACGTTGATCTGACATTGTTTTGCTCATCGAATTAACGTTGAACCAACGTCAGACGCGGCATTCTTTCAAAACTAACGGAAAATCAACTTGAAATCAACGCGTTGTTTCAACGTTATGAAAGCAAACCAATTTTTGATTTTCATTTAGCTTTGAAGAATGCCGTGTCTGACGTTGGTTCAACGTTAATTCGATGAGCAAAATCAACGTTATTTCAATGTCATGAGAGATGTCGTTTCCACGTTGATTCAATGTCAGTTTGCTGTCTGGGTTGTCCCGTTGCTTTTATGGACTCTCTATTTATGGGCTTCTACCTTGACTTTGTGCCTTCATGTCCCCCCGATATTCTATTCTCCTGAGCTTCTCCTCCTGCCTATACGGTAATGTCTCTATAAAGTTGCGTAGTGATGACGCAATCGTTAGTCTATTTTTACAAAAAAAAAACCTGCTTCTACATGGCCGTAATGTAAGATACAAAGTAATGGAGCATTTTATACATTGTCGTGTTTTTTTAGAATTAAATAATGGACAAATGAAGTTTTTGGACGCCTCAGATGTAAAGTTATTCGCTGTCAAAGTGACGCCAAAATGAATGGCAGTCAATGGGATGCTAACAGCAGGTGAAGTTCCGCTACAAAGGCGGCTTCCGCGAGGCTTCAACTTCCGGTTGATGGATCACCCCTTGTGAGGGACACGTAACGTTTTAATTTGTCTCTTTTGTCCACTTTCAACCACTTCTGTCCTGATTTCTTCAAAAGGAGAGGAAGTTATTGTTTTTTTTTTCTTTTCAGATCTTTCAATCCAATTTATTTATTTAAACATTGCGATTTACGTCCAGAGACGGCGGAAGAACACAAAGAGAGCGGCAACTTTCATTTCTACTCTGATAGACGCATTTAGAAATGATTAGAAATCAGGAATTCTGAGAGAACGTTGTGCTTGGTACGTTTTTCGTCTTCAAACCAAACTTGGGTCTTCAGTCTGGCTAGCACGCTTCCCATAATGTTTACTTAAGTCAGTAGACAGAGAGTAGGCAGTATTTTGTGGCTGTGAGAACACATTCGACCACATGAGAATTTGCTCTAGGAAAGCAATCCAGTCGAATGCGTTTTCAACATCCTCTGGAAGTGGTCGAAACTGGACAAGCTCAAAACGTTTTAGACCCCGTTTACACCTGGATTTAGTGCCATCCACTTGTGATCCGATCGACTAAAACGCATCCTTACACAAGGTGTAAACGGGGCCTTATGAATTAAACAGTCAAGTTACTTTGAAATCAAGAAACTTTCTGTTGGTCATCGTTATGAACCAATTTTTCCTTTTCCTTTTGTACTTTTCAAATGACTGGATTGTGCACTATTAAAATATGGCACAAATAAACCCAGATTTTTATACCTCTCTATTTGGATTCTAGCATATATATGTTAGCAAACCCCTCACTTAGAGTTCCCTTTTGCCTGGTTCAGATTTAACGATTTTTTTTGTCTGTTAAGTACGTCACTGTGTCAGATTAAGCGATTTTGACTCCTAATATCTTGTCGTGTCTTGGACAAGAAACATGTCAGACTACACGTTGCTTCCTGACCAGTCATCGCGTGCCGTCTTTAACGGCGCGCGTGATGTCATCGAGAAGGCGAAACTAGTAGCGAGTGACTTCCGGAAATGAACGTATACAAACAATGGATGAAGCAGTGAGTGTTGTATTGGCTGTCCTGTGTTCAGAAAAAAGTAAAAAAAGAAAACCCGACAATGGACACATTCCTGGATCGCTCGAAGAGGACCGTATGGGCTATCAATCCTCCAAAGAGAACAAAGAGAACAGTAAAATACTGTTTTCTTATATATTTTTACTTTTAGTTTTAACGTTAGCACTATCATCTCTCTTTCGTTTCGCCATTTTTGAAAGTTGTGTACGGAAAAGCTTCTGTGCTCCTATTGGCAACCTCAAACATGTGACGGAAGCGTCGTGGACGACCGTTAAAAAAATTAAACATGCTAGTCTTTTTGTCGTGATGTCTTGAAGCATCGCAGACGCGACGTAGTTTGTCGCCCACTATGACACACTATACGAGATGACGCGATCAAATCTTGCGTCCCGGCGCCCGTTGTCGTTTACGAACGGATCGTAAATGGTAAAAATGGTAAATGGACTGCATTTATATAGCACTTTCATAGACCCAATGGCCACCAAAGCGCTTTACATTTGCCTCACATTCACACACACATTCATACACCGATGGCGGTGTCAGCCATGCAAGGCGCCAGCCAGCTCGCCGGGAGCAGCTGGGGTTAGGTGTCTTGCTCATGGACACCTCGACACTTGGTCAGGTGGAACCGGGGATTGACCAACCTTTCGGTTTGTAGACAATCTACCTGAACCACTGAGCCACTGCCGCCCATCGAGCCAAAATCGGGCTAAAATCATGTAATCTGAACCAGGCATTACAGGAACCATCCCCCTACAGATCCCCCTTGTGATTGGCTCCAGCAGGGCCAATGAGATTCTGGTTATCAGCCTTGAAATGTATTCACTACTGCACAGCAATTTTTGAACATATGTTTGGGAAATCTACGAGGTCAATGAAGACTCACTTTCTGCCTCTACGTTGCAGTAAATGGTCGTCAGTCTCCCGGAGCCTCTGGTCATGTGCTGGAACGTCCAGATGTGTCCCTCAGGAAGACCAACATAAGCAACCAGGTACAGTCCCATTTTGAGATATCACCTGCTCATGAATAAATCTGTGGAATGATTCCAATAATAACTTGACAAAAACCAAATGGTTTGGTCTTCCATTGCTGCTTGGATTCTGAGTCAGTAGATCTGGTGCCATCTGCGCCAATCTGTGGGCAGTAACAGTTAAAGGATGGTGAGGCAGTGCCAAGTAAAACCCTCCCTATCCCACGTGATCTACGAACAGCCAGACAAGGGCATCTCATGCCATCAGCAAATCGGGAGCGGCAAAGAGTGGGCCATATGGCCGGCCCAGTTCTGGATCCTTTTACTCTGTTAGAGTTTGATCTCAGGCCAGGATTGGGAAGGTGTTGGGTTTTAAGCGGCGCTGGGGAGGGTTAGACGCTGGGAGAGTCTGGGGTGCGGAACAGTTATCGACCGGGACTGGGCGAGCGGCGAGGAACCGAACCGGAGGGCCTGCATGCGCTGACATGTTCTGCAAGACGGTAAGACAGCAAGTGTGTGGTTGTGCGCGTTCATTAGCTTCTCGTTATACGGAGTGCTGTGCATGCTGGATCTTTGGCCACACCGGCCATGTTTTTAATTAGAAAGATGGAGTGTGTACATACAGTAAGTGTGGACAAATAATGCAAACATTGCACTATGCTAGTAGAGTTAAGCACTGTGGGGTTTGATGCATGCTGGGAGATGTTTTCTTATACACATGCTAAGCACAACGTCTCTAACACCTGCTAACACAAGGTGATGCAGCGTCTGCAGCTTGAAATAGGGCACATGCACTCACCAGCTTTGGACACACACCTCTCTCGAAGCACTAATACTGATGCAAAATGAATACAGATACCTTGAAGCATCAGCCAGTCTGAAAGATAAGCTCACACTAACACACACACACGGGCAGTGAGAAATTCTTTGTTTTCGCAGGTCATGTGTGTTTTTTTTTTCGTCTGACAGCATGCTGTTGTTTGAAGCTTACCTCCAATGATAATTAGCCTTTTTTCCCCCTCCTCCCCTCCTCTCTTCTCAAACACGCGTGTGTTGTACAGGAGGGAGGGTGTGTGTGTTCTGTTTCAGTAAATCATCTGCCTCCCATCATTTTTCTCTCCTTATGTTTAACCTTTTATGTGTTTGTTATTAATATTATTATTAAAATTAGTGATGTTTGCGAAGACACATCCATATTGCTTATTTCACTTTGGTTCATTGCTCACTTCAAGCCAATTGTACTGTGTGAATGATACCTCAATTATGTAGATTGTCGAGGGGATGTGTGTTGTTACTTTTCTAAGACATACTGTATGAAGATCTTTTTGGCTGGCGTGCTATCAAACTGGTGAAAACAAACCCATTGATTATCCCTGAAAAGAGACCAGAGTCATCTCTAAAGACTAGAATATATAGACTTGGGGGTGGACACTTTTGACTTGGACCAGTAAGCAACTGCCTAGCAACCACCCTGAACTCTCTAGCAACTGCATAACAGCATACTAACAACCAAGATAATTTTTCGTCAGCTTGATATGCATGTCTTATATACGGCTCTTTTTAAAGGACACAATTTCTCGAGTGAATTTCACAAAAGAAATGTCCGGCCAATATTTTACCCCAGAATTAAGATAATATTTGTAATATGTAATATAATACATAATGTTGTTTATATTTTTATATTAATATTATTTAATTATTTATCCACTGTGACTTTGTTTACATAATAATTAATCATATTTCCCCCCACAAAATTTAATTAAACTTACATTTGGAAAACAGATTAGCTTTTTTTATTTTTTATTAAGATTTTTATTTTTTTTTTTAAGTAGAAATTGTGCTATAAATATTGGTATTGATTACTGCATTTTATTTGGTCCCACTTTATATTAAGTGGCTTTAAGTACCATGTACTTACATTGAAATGAATAATTTGATACAATGGACATACATGTTTTTACATTGTACTTATATTTTAAAAATACCAGAATGTAATTACAGCTGTAATTAATATATGTAATTACATTTGTAATTACACAGCTGACCCATCCCTTACACTTAAACCCACCCTTACCACCACACCTGTCCCTAACCTTACCTGTATCACACCTCAATAGTGGCAAAAGTGATTTACAATACAACATGAGTACAATAAGTACATTGTACTTATTTTTAAATGTAAGTGCATAGTACTTAAAGCCACTTAATATAAAGTGGGACCTTTTATTTAGAAATAAAAAATGTAAATGTCCAAAAAAACAGGTTTTGGACCCTTGTACACACAGATGTCACAACAGTGGACAGCTTTTCAAAAAGCATTTACTTTCATATGCATGGGTTTTGATGGTGTAGTTGCACATCTACTTCCACAGTGGACTCTAGTGCATCCTATACACTGCCACCAAGTGGCAAGCATTCATTACTAAAAATAAAAGATGGCCGACAGCCAAGTATCTCTGGAAAATCAATCCATTCCTTCTATCCTAGGAGACTCTTGAAGGTAAAACAAAATGTTGTTTCATCAAGTAACATCTAAGGAGTCATATCATTGTTAAATTTACCCAGTGTTGATTTTAGATTGGGAGGAAATCATGATTAATAATTTGTCATCACTAGCTAAATTTCAGATACAATTCGTACTATTACTGTGACTGATATTTTTGAAAATACTTCATCTGTAGTAACTGTTTTCGCTGTAAATACATGTATTTGTGACTCTGGATCGCAAAAATAGTCACAAGTAGCATGGACAAATGTGTGGCAAATACCCAACAATAAATTGTATGGGTCAAAATAATCTATTTTTCTTTTATGCTAAAGATCTTTAGGATAGTAAGTAAAGATCATCTTCCATGAAGATATTTAGTAAATATATAAAACATTTATTTTTGTGAGTGAATGCAGCACAATCACTAACATAAATGGACAACTTTAAAGGTGATCTGCAAATAATGCAAACACCCTCAGATTTCAGATTTTCAAATTGTTGTATCTCGACCAAATATTGTCTTATCATATCAATAATTTCCATACATCAATGAAAAGCCTATTTATTCAGCTTTCACCTTTCAGATCATGTAAAAATCTTTTTTTTTTAAATGACCCTTGTGTGTTTTGTGGTCTAGGGTCACATTTTTTGCAGTTACATCAAAAAGTAATCTGATTATGTTATTCATGTTACTTGTAATGTGTTACCTCCAACACTGCTCATTTCAAATGAGTATTGAAAACACCTGATTGCTAGTTTTTCCATAGTCCGAAAACATCAATAGATCAATGGAGATTTCAGTCTGAGGTTTTCTATGGTGGAAATATGTCCATTTTGAACATAATCATAATAAGCAGCTAATAAGGGTAAATCTACATACTCGGGTAGACTGGGGGGACCGTGATATTATCCTCATATTCTGATATCAAAGACATGCAAAATTCTTTGTCTGCTGGTCGAAAGGAAACAAACTCAATAATTGAAGCTGTATTTTATATATATATTATATATTTTACACATGATTTTATATCACTTTTATTAATAGCTTTGTTAAACACACACATTATTGCTACTGTATGATGTTTAATATGGTATCTCCTCAGTTAAAACCAAAAACGTATACTGTCCACACACACTGTAAAAAATATTTTCAAGATTTGTCATCACAACATATTTTCTTTGTCAAATCAACTTTAGAATAATTTATTTAGTCGAGTTAACTTATTATTTTGAGTTTCTGATGGTTAAATTAATCTACTTCATTGTATTAACTCACTTTTTCTAGTTAAATCAACTTAAAATTTTAAGGCAACCCAAGTTACTTACTTTTTTAAGTTAAACCAACAATATTTCTTTACAGTGTAGTAATCACAACATTTTTTCTTTTGTCAAATCAACTTAAATAATTTATTTAGTTCAGATAACATATAATTTTGAGTTTCTGATGGTTAAATTAATCTACTTCATTGTATTAACTCATTTTTTCCAGTTCAATGAACTTAAAATTTTAAGGCAACCAGGTTACTTACTTTTTTAAGTTAAACCATCAATATTTTTTACAGTGCAGGTGGACATCTGATAATTGAATAAAAAAGCTTGTTTTCCATGCACGAAGAGAAATAAAAACATACGAGTAATAATAATAATAATAATAATAAATTATGACGGAGTGTTGTAATATAATTCATACATTAAATAGTTAACCAAAAAAAAACAAAAAACCATTATTTCACTTTTGTGGTAAAATATGACCTGGACGTGTTCTTGTCAGGCTTCATGAGATTCACCCTCATTTCTGTTGACCGTGTGCCCTTTTAACTGTTATTGAAGTCTACTCTCTCTGCCTATGTCTCTCACTCCCTCTCACTCCGTCACGCTTCCACGACCCCCCTCCCCCTGAGACCCCCACCCCCCTCCACACACACACACACGCTCCACTCTGCATCGCTTGCCACAGCAACAGAGCCAGGCAGTCAGACCGCACGCGGGAGTCGAGCGAGAAGAGTGCAAAAAGAGTGAGAGAAAGAAAGAGAGGAGGCACGGATCAATGGAGATGGAGGAAAGCTTTGACGCGGAGGGCAGTTTTGATGATGCCTCCTGTCTGTCCCCCCAGAGCCCAGGGTCCACGTCCCCGTCCAGGAGGCAGAATAAGGAGAAGGAGATCAGGGAGACCAAAATCACGGTGAGTATCGACAATCGATAACACACTGCTGTCAAGTCTCTATATCCTCTTACTTCCATCAGTCACTCACTTTATTAGCTTTAATCATAACGTCGATCGGAAAGAGTCATGATGTGCGTCTTTTGCAGAACTGGCCACTGGGAATTCAAATCAGTGTTTCCCTGAAGTGCTTCACAGATGTGAAACATCTGCTCAGTGTTTTGTGCCACTCTCTCTTTTCACTGCTTCGCCTGCGTGTGTGTGTGTGTGTGTTTCATGAGTGATGTTGCTGGAAGTTTGTGTGTGCGCTTCAGAGAGTCTGAAGATGCACTATGACTAGTGGATTACATCACCACTGTTTTGCAATACCATGTTGTAAAGGATTCACCAACACGGTCGTGTTGATTGAAATAATCATTCCGAGGTTATTTGCCCCTCAGTAGTCCCTGAATGGGGACAAATGCAATCAAACGAGTGGAAAAAACACTTTTCAGAAACCACTCTTGTGTTTGTCATGCGTTACATTTTTCCCACTTCCCAAGAGACCGCTTGATATTCAAAATGTTCTTCAACCGCACCAAGGAAGAGAGTATTTTGAATTCCGTGACATGGCTGATGCTCAATCTCGCGCACGAACGCCGCGCTCGAAGACTCGCCACTTCTTTTCAAATTATGTATGCAGTGTGAGTGCGGAGACGTAGCTTTGCAGCTGTATTCGAACCTGGCTTTGATCCAGCTTAACCTGGAAACGTCACACTACTGGTGTGCTTTGGGTTTCATGGGAAACCGAAGCCGTCGAGAATCTAGTTGTGTTGTAGTGCATTTAGAAATGCAGATGTGGTTCATAAAGCAGCGCACGGAAGGTCAAATCGCAACACTGATTTAGTATTCACAACAGGAGTGCTTCACTTCTGAATAAGCCCTAACATCCACTTAGAGAGTGTGTAGCTGGTTGGGCGATATTTTTGATGGGTAACTCTCATTCATGAAAACACTGACTCTGTATTTACATTAACATTCATTGAGGGTGTTTATGGCAGGCTTGGGTTGGTTAGGGTGATGTAACCTGTAGTGTGAGAGATGTACAGATATTCTCTCTCTCTCTGTGTGTGTGTGTGTGTATAGGGCAGGTGAGGTGTCCGTCAGATGAGAGAGAGACCGCCCACCAGAGAGGGAACTAGAGAACTGGGGAAGACATGGCTAGTCCAGTTTCCATGGTGACAAAGGCAATAGTACTGACTAACGGGTGTTAGAAAAAAAAGAAAGAAACACACACACACACACACACACACACACAAAAAGAGAAAAAGAAAGAGAGCGAAATGGGAGGAATGAAAGAAAGCTGTCAGTCAAGCTGTCACTGTTTGTTCAGAGAGGCAGCATGAAATGTGTTTAGTATGCTGCAGTTTTAGCAGCAGGTAAAGACTGCTCTAGTATTCATAGTGGTGTGCGTTAATAAACGTGTCATTTCCTCTAACAAAGGAAGTCTGTTCGCTTCTTGAAGCAGAAGGGATAATGTAGCTACGGTTATTATCGCAAAATAATTCCCTATAGGGTGATAAGAAGGGTCTTGATCAAGGGTTTTTTTAATGACCAGCTGGCTGTACATAATTCCAGTTATTATGGATATGGATATATCAAACACACTATTATTTTAGTGTTTTTGAAAGAAGTATCTTATGCTCATCAAGGCTGCATTTATTTGATCAAAAATATAGACAATAATATTAAAATTTAAAATAATTATTTAATTTAGGCGTACTTTAAAATGTATTTTTTTTTCTGTGATCAAAGCTGAATTTCAGTGTCTTCAGTGTCACATGATCCTTCAGAAATCACTCTAATATGATGATTTATTACCAATGTTATTATTATGCTGCTTGTTGCAGCGCAATCTCATCAGTTATATGACGTCTTGGGACGTCTTTTGACCAAACGTCAATAACCGCCTTTTTAGGGCACCCTTAAACGTCGGTTAGATGACGTTATCTGATCCTAACCCTACCCCAGACCTAAACCTACCCCGTCACCTAACTGACGTTAAAGGTAAAGCGTCAGTTGTATAACGTCCCAGGATTGTCATATAACCGACGTTTAAGGGTACCCTAAAAAGGCGGATAGTGACGTATGGTCAAAAGTAGTCCCAAGACGTCAGTTATATGACACGAGACTGTGTTGAACTTGATGCTTTTTCAGGATTCTATGATGAATAAAAAGTAAAAAACAAAAAAAAACAAAAAAAAAAAACAGAATTTATTTAAAATAATATTTGTAACAATAAACACTACCCTTCAAAAGTTTGGGGAAAGATTTCTGAAGGATCACAATACTGAATACTGGAGAAATGATGCTGAAAATCCAGCTTAAAGGAGAACTACGGCGCAAAATGAGCCTTTGGTCTAATTACACATTGTTACCTAGTCAACCGTTATCTGAGATTTGTTTTCATGATTGCCGAATGTAAATAGTTTTATCTCTAAAAACAGTTTAGCCTATAACGCTAGTATAATGCTAGTATATAGGGCATAGAGTAATGACAAATAAAAATCGCTTGTTATTACCACTAACAAGGCTCAAAATAGCCCCACAGTAACACGACAGCATAATAAGGGTCCCTACATTCAAACCGAAGCATTGAGAACTTTGTCAGTGTCCAAACAGTTTAATAAGAAGATGTTTTATACACACAGTAAACTTCGTGAATACAGGAAGAAGCCATCTTTGAAAAATAGTCTCTACCAGTCGATCTACGAGCGCCGATCCAAGTGCGCTGGTGAGATGTGAATAAGGTGATAAGGTGAGCGCGAACAGTAGGCTACGTGTACATATTGAAGAGAAGAAAACGGTTTGTGTTTGTGTTTCTTCCGGAAACAACGGACCATATGAGATTCTGCACAGTTCAGCGCACTTGGATCGGCGTTCGTAGGTCGACTGGTAGAGACTATTTTTCAAAGATGGCTTCGTCCTGTTTTCGCGATGTTGACTGTATGTATAAAACATCTTCTTATTAAACTGTATGGACACTGACAAAGTAATCAATGCTTCGGTTTGAATGTAGGGACACTTATTATGCTACCGTGTTAGTGTGGGGCTATTTTGAGCCTTGTTAGTGGTAATAACAAGCGATTTTTATTTGTCATTACTCTATGCCCTATATACTAGCATTATACTAGCGTTATAGGCTAAACTGTTTTCAGAGATAAAACTATTTACATTCGGCAATCATGAAAACAAATCTCAGATAACGGTTGACTAGGTAACAATGTGTAATTAGACCAAAGGTTCATTTTGCGCCAGGGTTCTCCTTTAAATCCCATGAAGTATAAAACTATGGCAATCAAACTGCATAAAAGTGTACAAATACTCTAGTACTCTTATGATAAAATCCCTGAAGCATTACACTTTTTTATTTTGCTGAAATGCACCATTTATCTAAAATTTGACTAGAAAGACAGTATCAATATTAAAAAGCACTAGAAATACAGTATCAATATTAAAAAGCACATCACTAGAACTGTAATGCATATATATATGGTTCCCTTTCGAAGGAACTCGCGATGCGTCAACGACGTGAATGCGTCTGAAGCATCTATGTCAACTAATCCAATGGAAAGAATGAGCGTCTTAGATCTGAAAGACGCTTACTTCCATGTCTCTATCCTCCCTCAGCACAGGAGGTTCCTGAGGTTTTCTTTGGTGGGCAAAGAATACCAATATCGGGTACTTCCTGTCGGTCTAGGATTATCACCCCGCACATTCACGAAAAGCGTAGATTCTCACACTCCCACGTTTTCTTCCTTCATCGAGCCTCGACGGAAGAAGCAAAGAGTATTTACAGTACGTTCTTTGGAAGAAGCGTGCGTGTGTTGAACTTGAAGGTGTGCCTCGTCTTAAAGTGTCCGCCATCCGGGTGAAACCAACTCAGTCTCATCCCAAAAAGTCATATAACTGACGTTTTGGGACGTCTTTTGACCATACGTCAATATTCGCCTTTTTAGGGCCCCCTTAAACGTCGGTAGATGAGGTTATGGGATCCTAACTCTACCCCAGACCTAAACCTAACCCTAAACCTAACCCGTCACCTAACTGACGTTAAAGGTAAAGCGTCAGTTGTATGACGGCCCGGGATCGCCATCTACCGACGTTTAAGGGGGCCCTAAAAAGGCGGATATTGACGTATGGTCAAAATACGTCCCAAGACGTCAGTTATATGACTTTTTGGGATGAGAATGTGTTGGTGAAACAGTATGCTATTTTTATTTACCCACCACGGTGGCCGGTAGTTGAAGTGAGTTTACCCGCCACAACACAAAATCACCCACATTTGGCTGGTGGCGGGTGCTAATTTCCATCCCTGTTCTAAACAGATGATTAGTAGGTGGATAGTCGAGGCTATTTCACTTGCTTACGAGTACTCTGACCAGCCTTGCCCTTTGGCTGTCAGGGCTCACTCTACTTAGGGCTATGGGGCCTCTAAAGCCTTATTATTTGGGGTTTCTATCCAAGACGTTTGGGATGCGTTGGGCTGGTCCTCACCGCTCACATTCGTCAAATTTTACAGCTCGGACCTGGATGCTGCCCCATGTTCTCAGGTGCTTCGTGCTTAGCCTACACCAGACTGACACTCAGGTACTTGAAAGTTTGGCGATTTGGGTATTCTCATTCCCAAAGCGTCATTGACGTATCCCGAGTTCCCTCGAAAGAGAACGTCTCAGGTTACGACTGTAACCATAGTTCCCTGAGAAAGGGAACGAGACGATGCGTCACCCTGCCATACTTCCTGCATCCCTGTGATCGGCTTGTTCTGCAAATTTCGAAGCTTATCGGTGGTTTGTACCGAATGTGCTTTTATCTCTTCCTGGTTATGACGTCACCCACCCATGATGCTCATTCTTTCTATTGTACTAGTTGACAGATGCGTCAGACGCATTCAGGCTGGGGGGGTTCCCAAAGCGTCATTTACGCATCGTCTTGTTCCCTTTCTCAGGGAACTATGGTTACAGCCGTTATCTGAGACGATT